TGTATTAGTAACTTGAGTTTGAAAATTGTTATGATATGTTCAGTTGTTATCACTTAATAGGCAATCATCTTAATGTCTATCGCAACGCGGAAATTACTATCGCAATGCGAAATGAAAATCGCAACGAGAGAATTGCAATGCGAAATGAAAATCGCAACGCTAATTTCGCAATGCGAAATGAAAATCGCAACGAGGGAATCGCAATGCGAAATGAAAATCGCAACGCGAATTTAATTTCGCGTTGCGATTTTCATTTCGCATTGCGATAGTACTTTTTGCCTTCAACATAATGCAGATTGAAATCAACAAAATCAACCATTACATTTCAATAAATTAAACAAGCACAAATAAGAATTATGTTAACATCAATTAAACAAATCAACTTTTACAAATCACCTTTTACAAATCAATTAAACAATCAAAAAATAAGCAATAATTCTTAGAGAAAATAACACTTCTACTATTGAATCAACTTTTGCAGCCATACATCATTTTCACGCAGCTCACTTCTGAGATTAACCTGCATAAACCAAACATTTGCTCAAACAACACTTTCTACACATCTAAAACCTACAAACAGCAAATTATTGAATTCTAGGTACTTAACCAAACATTTTCAAACCACAAGCCTATAAACATATCAATTGTTTATGGACATTTTTATAACGCGGATACAGGTAGGCAGCGTCTCGTATATATCGATCTAGCCATATAATGTCGAAACCACAAGCATACTGCAGTTCTATCTATATCGGTGGGAGGTAGATACTTTATACTTCCTGTGATCAAACGGTCCAACGCCAAGTATACTAGAGGACCACAATCCCCTCTGGGTCCTTTCGTTTGTTGTGGTGCGGTCTCGTCTCTGCTAACTGTAATATTGAGCTTCTTTGGCTTCTTGTTTCCAGAACGAGTCCAATAATTTATCGCATCCAAGAATTTAGCCAAATAAGAGCTCCATCCCTTAATAATATCTCTTAAATCAGCCAATGATATGTAATTTATCATGCTGTCATATACTATTGCCTTAAGGGATGGGATCTGAAGCTCGACGAGAAGTCAATGGTTATGTTCCAAAACAGGGATAAACACCTGCAATCATAAGTAATAATTCATTCATTTGCGCACTTATTTATGAATACCTTTAAACTCAATCTAAAATAAACACTAACCTTATCGACCTCCCACCATGCAGGATAAAGTTTAGCTTGTCCATTGCCCAACGCAAATGATTCATCTCGTTGATTCTTCAAGTGAACGGCGTTAAAAGACGTCGGCATAATTGTATATCGTGTATTTCTTTTATTTTCCTTAAGTTTCCTAATTATTAGAAGACGTGACACCCACGCATCGATATACTGTTTTACAAAAAAGACATATATTAGTAACTTACATAAATTTACAAAAAAATAATCAAATTAAAATATAAGAAAAATATAAGACTTACCCCTCCATCGAAATAGCCATTGTCTTCGACCCCTAATAATACGCCCCACCAAGACCGATCAAGCAACAAATAGATATCATCGTTGAGCTTGCATATGTCAGTGAAACACCCCTGGCTTCGCTCATGTAGATAAAAATCAACTACGGTCTTAGCCCAAAGGGTGTTATCCAGAATTGTGTCCTGTAGTTGTTTCCTCTCCACTTCAGATACCGGTATGGTACTGGCCGGTAACTCATACGAGAGCCAACTTGAATCCATCATGTCCGGTACGTCAGAGGGTTTCTCAAGAATCCTACATATGACTCCATGTGAATCGGGCTCTTGAATGGTGGGAGGGACCTCTTCAACGATGACAGTGGCCTCTTGAACGGTGGGAGGGGACTCTCGAGGAATGATAGGGGCCTCTTCAACGATAGGAGTGGACTCTTGAGGGATGACAGGCGAGTCGGGCTTCTTCTTGCGGTGTCTTTGCACTATTGGGGTATACAGAGACTTAATAGCACGTGCACGCCGTCTGATGCGTGAACTCTGTCGTGCAAGAAAAACCCGACGTAAAGCATCCACCTTATCGGTCTGCTAAATAATTAAATACAAATATCAGTAAATAAACATACATGATATTTAAACAGTGAAAACAAAGACAAACATATTTCAAACTTTCAACCAAAAGACAAAACAAAGACAAATACTAACTTCACAGTGTTAAAGAATACACAGTTTAGCAGAATTGGCAGCAACCGAATAAATTTACTTCAACCAAAAGACAACAAAAAGACAAATACTAACTTCACAGTGTTAATAAACAGTTTAGCAGTATTGGCAGCAACCGAATAAATTTACTAAGCAATCTAAGTGAAATGGTTAATTTAAGTGAAATTACTAGTAAATTTATCATCAAGTTAAATATGGAAAATCTTAAACTTACCTCGTTACGTAGAGTATGAACCTCATTCTGCAACGATACTACCATCTCACGTAGAGCGGCAACCTCACCACGTAAAGTAGACACCTCCACACGCCATGCACCATCGTTATCGCGTAGAGTACCGATCTCCTCACGCAAGGCATTGACCTCATCACGTAACTCCCTTGACTCATCCCGTGGAGGTGGAGAACAGGGAGATAGAAGTCGTGGAATCTTTGCCGGTCGCCTATCATGAGGTGATGGTGGAGAAGAGGCTCGATGATGTGACGGGATAGGTGATGGCTCTCGTTGTAGAGGTGTATAGTCGGGTTGATCAGGTGATGGCTCTGGGTGAGGTGATGGCTCTCGAAGTGGAGGAAGTAGAGGCTGCTCATCATTCGTGCCATCAAGAAAACGCTGACTATCTTGCCACCAATCAGTGGCAAGCTCAGCCTCCGTGGGTGTCAGTCTCATTAATGGAATGTTGGCCTCATAAAAATATAAAAACTCAAACAAAGTTAAACGTCTACTATTAATAACTTGTTTATATATGATAGTATTTGTGTTAACTTACATTATTTATTGTCGCATATGGTATTAAGTCTTCCCAATCCAACAGACGTTTCCTCTTCCAGGAAATAGCCCTGGGAATATCATTTGAAGTTTTTATTACATATGTCTTCATGGCGGGAAAGGCCTCGAATATCCAAATCTACAAACAATATAATAACAATCATTAGTAATTGTTAAATAATTAATTATAATTTTGAAAACATTATATAGAAATTCTTACCTTAAAGGCCCAAACAAAGCCTGACAAAGTGTATTTCAACCCATCGCCCCGTAAACTTTTGCGGTCATCAAAGGCAGACGACAACTTAGTCCAGGTAGCTTTCCATATATACGAACCCCACGGAAACAGATTCCATGCATTTATGTCCTCTACCAATAATATTAGCTCCTGAGGAATAGGTTGTCTGGCCTCTCTGCCTAAAAAGCCGGCATACAAAAGTAGTAGAAGGCATACTCGGACAACATCGACGTCATTCATCCGAGTAAAATCATCTTTCTTATTAAACAATTTCTTCATGTCGTCGACGTGTAAGTCCGGCTTCTCTATTGACTCATCAGGAAAAACCCTGGATAACCATGATGGGCGGGTGATATGACGAGTGTACCGGCCTACATCATCGTGTCCGAATCGTAGACCAGTGATTAAGCAGAACTCCTTCCGCCCAAAAACAAGTATACGCCGGTGGAAAATGAAACTATATCTCCTCCTCACCACGTTGTATACTGTCGGGTAGATCGCTAGTCATGGTCTGAAGCCACAAATGGGTCAAATTAGCATCTCCACCCGGATGCTGTACTCTCAGCCATGGCCCGAAGCAGGTTTCCTCAAACAATTTTCTTTGTGCAGGTGAAAGCTTCGAAGCAATTGTAGTGGCTAGGCTAACTTTATTCCTTAATGTCAATGAAGCCGAAAAAAATTTCTACAAAAACAATAAACATACCAAGTTAGATATACCAAAAACTAAACTGTCAAGATATACCAAAAACAATAAACATAAATAGTAGTTTATTCTTGAAACTAAAATTTGTAACACTGTTTTGTCTTTTGGTTGAAATGAAAATCGCAACGAGATAATGAGAATCGCAACGCGGAAATGACTATCGCAATGCGATTTTGGTTTCGCGTTGCGATTTTTATTTCGCGTTGCGATAGTTATTTCCGCGTTGCGATTTTCATTCTCGAAACTATTCTTCTTCTGCATTACTTCAACCAAAAGACAAAACAAAGACAAATACTAACTTCACAGCCTAAACAGTTTAGCAGTATTGGCAGCAATCGAATGAATTTAATAAGAAATCTAAGTGAAATGGTTAATCTATTATTGAAATTACAAGTAAACTTATCATCAATCTCAATATGAAAAACCTAAAATAATGCAAAAATTTCAAAATAAAAATAAAACAAAACTAACCCTCGGAGGTTGATTTTCCATTTCTGAATGATTGTGAGGGATTTTTGACTGTGAATGGTTGTGAGAGATTTCGCCGGCGATGGGGACGGAAATCTTCGGAGATGGGGACGAATTTCGACGTAGAGAGTGAGAGATGGAGATGGGACTGAGTGTTGTGATTTTGGGTTTGAGGTTATGAGTTGCGATTACTGTGGACGGTTCAGTTTCCGATTTATTAAGAAAAAATTCGTGTTTGGAATTTGAAAAAAATACGCGTTAATACGAATGACGCTATGTAAATCGCGTTGCGAAAGTCAGAATCGCGTTGCGAAAGTCAGTATCTCGTTGCGATTTTGTATTATCGCATTGCGATAGTCAGTATCGCATTGCAATTTTCCCAATTCGCGTTGCGATTTACTTATTCGCATTGCGAATTGAGAAAATCGCAACGATACTGTAGATCATCGCAACGCGATTTTCAACTATTGCAACGCGAAATGCAACGCGAATTTACGATAATGGAGATCACGTTACGAATTAGCGATCGCATTGCGATTTTGTTGATCATTTTGGCAAATCCGGAAAAAATTGTTAAAATCGTATATTATATGGGATTTTTGGTCACTGAGGTTATTTTCTCTTTTTTTAATGTCGTAATTTCTCATAAAAAAGTGTTATCAAGTATAAAAACACTCTTTCTTATATATTAAAAAAATTATAAAAACACACAAAACTGTTTGTACTAAGAAATACACCATGCTACAAATGAGATGCTTATTTTTCTATCAAATATACTATAGAGAGGTAAAAAGAAAGAGAATATCCATGGTGTTCATATCAAGCAAAGACAAGATGATGAAAAGAAAACAGAGCTTATGTAACATAATCATGGCCATCAGCAGCTGAAGGGAGAGATTTTTCTTGTTCTGCAACAACCATAAGCATCTCTAGGCGCTTATCAAAAAGTAGAGCACTTTCATCCCTCTCGTCAAGCTCAGCACCTTCAGCTTCAAGCCATTTTTCTCGAAGATCATCAAGAAGATTGGCTTGGTCTGTATTAATCACAGCTCCTGGGGCACTTGGAACTGTCGTCCGGAGTGATGAATCTCCAGATGGTGGTGGCAGTGTCAAAAGCATTGCTCGGAACTCACATGTGTCCGCAAATGTCTCAAAGTTGCAAGCAATCATATCTAGACAATAGTCTCGTATCTTCAGAACACCATACCTACACGTGAATTAAAATTCTGAAATAAAAAACATTTATATCCATAACGGCTAGGCCAAGGCTGATAATGACATTAGTTTATCTTTAGACAGGTACAAAAGTTCCGACCAAAAAAGAAAAGAAAACACTTTAAACCAGTTTTGAACTCAGTACCTAATCTTTTGATTCAATTGTTCTGTTAAGGAAGATGCACCACTTCTATGAGATAATATCAGAATCTAAACGGCCTACCTACACACCGGAAAGCAATTGCTGAAACATTCCAGCAGACCAAGTAAAGCTGCATGTAAAGAGTCTACAACTCCCAAAGCTCCATTTAACAAGCAAACAAATCATTTCATTACTGCACTTTCATTCTAAAGCCACGCAAGTACAAAATCCATTCCTAGACCAGAAAGAGTTCTAATTTAATGATAATTACCCATTCAAATAATGTTTAATAAAATAATACATTGATCTCATACTTCAGACTTCAGAGGAAATAAAAGGTAGATAAACCATACATGTCAGATAGCATCAGCCAATGGCACAATTCAGCTGGTGAGACCATCTCTAGATGTGGCAGCAGTACATCAGCTACAGCACGCTTCAAAGGAAATAATAGATAGCGAGAAGCGGCATCAAACATTTCTTCCGCCTGATTAATTGGAAAAGTTAAAAGTTAAATTTTAACTGATATATATATATATATATATAAACCATTTTCCTAAGACAATACAAAATACCTGATCTGGATCTATATCTGTCAAACCATCAGTGTACCTGAAGAAGTTATGGAGCTATTATAAGTTGCATGTAGTTATGACAGAGTATGAAGAACAAAATCATACATTAACTAAAGCACACTTGACCATCCCTAAAAGAATATCAATTAATAGAACCAATTTCTAAATACTTTGTACTATTTTAGAAAAACAAAACCCTAGATTTGAGTTACAGTACTAACTACTGAAGTAGAAAGTAAGAAGTTAGAGGCGAGGAAAATATTTACATATACTCGATCATTTTCTCAAATGCCTCAGCACTCAAACCACGTTCTTCAAGATATGGAAGGGTATCGCTTGGTAATGCATCTTTCCCTTCATGAAATTCTTTCATACGAGTCAATCTTGTTTTAAAATATTCTGATCTTGATGCTAAAACAACTTGATGGCAACGGAAAATCCTTTTATCAACTCTTACACAAATATCTGCAAGATCATCTAGAGAGTCACTTAACTGCATAGCACCAACATGAGGCAGTAATCTGTCAACACCAATGTCTAGGCTGTTTTCCTTGGATGACTGTGCCAGTGAAATTTGAAGGATTCGATGCAAGGAAGCAGGAAGCCGGTCTTCCTCAGGAAGGGACAGGCCCTGTAAAATAAACCGTTTTTGAGAGTTGTCGACATCTCTCAATGCTTTGTATTCAGCATATTTTTGGTGAATCAGTTCTTTCTCTAGAATCCTTTGTAACGATTCACATTTGCATACTTTACAAATTCTCACAAGATCCTCCATATCATCTACAGCAACCTCTAGTCTGTCAGAATAAAAGAAGTGGATGAGACTATAGAGAGCAGGATAAGACAACTTTTCTCTTGAAAATCGCACTTCATTGCGATCTTTCCAGTCTGTTTCAAACTTTCTCCTAAAAAATGGAGAGCGGGAACTTAAAATAACTCTATGAGCCTCAATGGGTCTGCCTTGCACAAAAAATACAACATCTGGTGGGAAATAATAGGAACTTGATGCCCCATTCGATGCAAAACCTGAATCAATATCCAAGGTCGTGTCAGACACACACATGCATATTTTTCTCAGACGAACAATACTTGCAACGAAAATGAGCTGATATTTTGGGACCCAATAAATTAACAAAGCAACATCTACAAAATTGCAATTGACTTGAGATTTCATCAAAGATTTCAGTGTTCCGTTATTTTCTGATATTCATACTTGCAAAGCTTTCAACAACGATTGAAATGCAAATATAGGAGAAGCAAAAGTGCTCTTTCAGAGCTAGCTTTCACATTTACTTCATTAAGAAAACAGATTGCCTCTGATGGCTAAATATAAAGAAATTTTGAGCCATTCATGCTAGATGTTCACTTTAGAAAATGGGGGTGGGGTGGAGGGGGGACAGGGTCTAATAGCTCCATTCCACGAAAGATTTAAAAATTTTACTCAAAACTAATAACCATGAGCTGATAGAAACTTATGAAATACCACCAGGCCCTAACAATTCCTTGGTTTATATTTTGGATAAGTATCCCCAAGCATTTAGAAGTCAATTATCCTCAAAGTGGATCACAACACCATATAACTTACAACCATTCTCAAATCTTAGCATCAGGGGTAAAAGAAAATCAAGATGTTGGAAACACAAGACACCATTTCTTCAATCTTGAATTATTGATGCAAATTTAATTAGGAAAAAATGAAGAGAAAATGAGTGAAATGAAGAAATTACTCGGCCAAATCAAGAAAAAAAGAGAAGAAATTCTTAGCCCACAATTTGAAATCTTTCAATAATTATATATGAGAAGCAACGATAGATATTCAATTCCCCGTAATTGTGTAAATTCATTGGCACATTACTTAGTTTTAAATTTTTATCTAACCCTAGTGAAAAGAAGTTACTTTTCATTCTATAAACCACTTCTATTTATGAAGCCTTTCCCTTTTCTTTTCTCCCCTATAAATTCAGAAAATTTAGTTTCGAACTTCACATTGGTTTTGTAACCGTGATTCACCAATGCATCAAACTCCACTAAACTAACAGCATTCATCAAGCAATTCCAAAGTGGAAAGCAGCAATACGACAAAAATCAGTCAAGCCACATTTCACCACTAAATTAAGTAGCATATCAGCTTGATCCAAATAAACCCAAACCCAGAATTAAGTAAAAAGTAAAACTGACCCGAAACCTGGAAATGTAGCCCACTCTCAGTAGCCTGGTCGATAAAACCCCGATTAGCCTCACAGCTCAAGAAAGTATCTCTGAGGGCACCCTGCAAGGGTCCAAGAGGCGGCGGACGAGCCTCGAAAGCCTTGAGAAGTTTCCTAACCTTCAAGTTCAAAGCAGCATAGTGACACCTATCCCCATCGAAGGTATGCTCGGAGCATATAGCCCCATTCTCCAGTAACATACGGGCGGCATCCAAGTGTCCAGCTAAGCAAGCATAGTACAAGGCAACGGAGTCCCAATTATCTCGGGCGTTAACGTTGACGCCGGACTCGAGCAGATAACGGAGACGGTCAACGTCACCGGCACGGGAGGCCTCGAATATGTCTCCGTTGGGAACCTTTTTGAGTGGGACGGAGGCGGTGAAGTCAGAGGCGTCAAGGTCTATGTCGTCGAGTTCCGAGAAATAAGGTGAAGGTGGTGAGGGCATTTGGGAAACTGTAATGGCTATTGTTGTGGCTGTGGGGAGAGAAATTTTTCTGTATGTGTTTCGGCCTTGGGCTCTTATTGCGGGTGGATGGAGGGAGATCTGTCTTTTGGGCCTCTTTTTTTTATAGATCATTACTTCTGGATTTCTTGCAATTTGTCCTAATTGTCTCGTTAAACACAACTAATAATACCTTTTGATGTTTTAGATAATAATTTGGGTTAATTGCACCCCACATTTCAAACTATGATTCACTTTTTAATTGTTCCTCAATGTAGTAATCGAATAGTTTCACGTTTCAATGGTTGCTACAGAAAAAATGTCATTGTTCTTTGTAAATAATCTGTGTTCAAATAATTTTATTTATAAATTGTTCTGATTTTATTTAAGACTAAAAAAGAATATATATTTTTTCATAGAATCATATTAAAAATGCTCAAAAAATGTAATGCACAATCAGATCCTTTCGTCATCTAAATTATCAATTTGGGTGTTAAAAACTAATTTGAAGTTGAAGTAAACCTCTCCAAGCTTTCCTATCGTTCAATTGGATAACTTCTCCATCTCGACTTTTGTAGACCCCAAACGGAGATTCTCAACACTCGATATTCCCTTCTAGTGTCGCAGCTTTGCCACATCTTTCTAGGCCTCTGTCACATACTTTTTAACATCAGTAACTTACCTTTGAGCTCATTTACCTTCTTGAGCCTCACTTTAAGCAATTGTAAGCTCTCGCTTTGCATATTTCAACTCCGTTTTCAATGTCACGTTCATAGAACTTGAAACTTACAATTTGAACTTCTTAGTCCCAATCGCTTCTTCCCATTTACTACCCCATGAAGAAGTTTTTACAAAGGTAGAGTCAAGCTTATCCTCCGCTAATATTGGTAGTCTCGCCAAGTACCTTAGAAACTTCCGCATAGCAGGGCCTGCAGAAGTTCGAAAGAGACCTAAAATCAACAATTCCTTTAGACACCCCTTAAAGGAAGCTACAAGTGCACGACATAAGATTATAATAAAAATGCCCAAACAATAAGACTTAGAAACCGGAGCACACCCATCTACAACCATTTTTTGTCCACCAAAACCTTTTACCATTTTGAAATCGTGCTTTCTTGACCTCAACCTCGAAATGCCCCATTTCACCCACAAGCTCAAGGGGAACCGCTTTTATCTTTTTCCCAACTTGCATAAATTCAACGGCTAGATCCATACTTAGTATCCTTTTGAGGCTTGGATCACACTCTGTCATGCAATCTAGCTTCAGATTTGTTGAAACCTTGGAAGGATTACCTCCATGTTAACGACCAAGGGTAGTTTTAACTTTCTCTAGGAACTAGATAGAGCGGAAGAGGACTAGGGAATGTCCTTTTGGATAGTCCAGTTCATCTAGTCGAACTAGTATTCGGCCGCCACACCCAACGACCTTGTCGAAGTTATCGTCAAGCAAGCCCTCCGACCTTCGATTTATCTCCTTCTTCAAAACGTTCCCATCATCAGGCCCAAAAGCCCTGGAAAAACCCATGGGTGTTTGTCGATCTGACCAAGGTCTCTGAGGGCAATGACAAAAAGGCGAGTGGAGTATCATAATCCCCTGGACTCTGGTACTGCCTTTAGTAATATTTACAAACTCATCTGTACCTTCGTACGACCACACGTCTCTAAAACTGAGAATGCCTGGTGGATATTCCCCACCGACCATATCATCTCCGACCTTAAACTCGTTAGGGTTATTTTTCTTAAGAAAATATATGAAAATAAATTCTAGATGGGGATTATATCCAGCAATCTAACCATACACCTTTCTTCAACACAACAAATTACTTCCTCTCCTCATTTTCTAATCCTTGAATGGAGGTCCTGGCCCACTAACCATGTATACTTCATCGGAGAGAGAATCCAAACCCTCAAAGGAACCTTTGAATCATTTTACTGAATCTAGAATGATCCAAGCTCAGCCTCAATTTAATAGTCCAACTTACAATAGGCTCCCTAATCTTGAACATATTCCCACACTTAGCCACATTATTGAGGGTAAACAAATTGTGCAATATAGCCACAGAAAGCACCCACTTATCGTTCCAGTAGAAAATTAAATAACCTACTAGAATCCTCCAAGAAACCCCGACTAATTGACCCGGAGCTACTCCATAAGTTTCAATACATCACTCACAAAGTTGTGCACATGAAAAATAAAATTCGACCTCCAAAACAAGAGTGGGAGATAAACCACTATGGGTCCCTATTTATCCATCGTCATAATCACTCATATGTTACGAATCACAGGGAACAATACACTCAAATTCGTACTTCTCCCATAATATCAAATGGCTCAGTAAATAAATTCTTAACCTCAAGTCAACGAGTTTTGCACTCGAATGTCCCGCCATCCACTGGTTCACCTCTCCTTTCTCCTCTAATTTCTTAACATCATTCATGCTACTTTTTTTCATAACCATTGCAAGCTAATTCAAGCGAAAAACAAAGAAAACTTTATTGAGATTTTGCAACAATACAAGAGCATAATATAAACAATGGGATTTAGGGTTGTTACTCGAATCGTTCTTAAATAGTTGAATAAAACATGTCCCCAACAGTCAAAACGTCGCACCATTCCACTACATTAGGCACAAGACACCGCGTATTTAAGCCTGCAAGTTGTTCAAAAAATAATCATTGTGACGTTTCTTAAAAGAACGGTCTATTAAATGCCAATAAAGCTTCAACAGATAAATCTCAGGTCAAGTCATTCTACAGTGTTCTCTCGACTAAGAGAGGACAAATGTCATACCTCTTTCAAATCTCTTTTGCAAGGTTGCTCTATGCATATCAGGTGCTCCAGGGAACCCCACCTCCAAGAATAAAGACTTAAGAGTTGTGCACCCCTCATAAAACTCAAATGATCTATCAATGTTAAATCTATCAACTGCTCATATCTATTAAGCTTGTCAATCTAGGAGTAGTCACAATTATCTTATACTTGACACTGACAGTAAACGTCACTATAAAACTTCTCGATCAAGATCGAGAAAAACCGGCTAGAACCTACCTCAACCATCTTTAACCATTCTTTCACTCTTTTCCTACCTTATGAGAGTAGAGTACACAAATACCGACCAACAATCGTATGACCATCGATTATGATTCTATATCCAAACCAAATAAAATGAATTGTTAACAATTGATATAATTCATTTATTTCTACCAATAAAGTTGATAATGTGGCGTATATAATTTATAGTACATTATACATGTACAACCATTTTTTTAACTTTATGAATATTTAATTAACTGTGCGTGACTTCATCGATGTAATAGTTTTTCTAAGAAAAAATAGAGACAATCATAGGGATAAATGAAAATGAAATACTGAAAGTCAAAGAAATTAATCCTCGGGCGCAATGCTAGCCGTGTTGTTTTGGTAGGATCCGACACACTCCACGTAAACAAATGTTGCCATGTTTTTCTCTCTTTAGAAATCCTCACTTTTAATTTATTAATACTAAATATAGGAATTGATCTACAATCCTAGAAAAATTAAAGAAGTAGGTAATTTTTATTAAATTATGTTTATGAACATAAATTAATTTACTTATATTGTGTAGTTGTAATATAAGAAATCTCATCTTAGTTACATTATTTGGGGAAATAAAGTAAGAAAAGATTGTTGGAATCATTTAATCTGAAGGGCCGCTTATGTTAATTAATAATTAATTAAGAAGGTGGGTGAAGGTTGAATTAATTAGCAGTGAAAGCGACGCCGACGCTGATGCAGAACTGTACCGGTTTTGCTTAAATTCTCGTCAGCTTCGATTTAACACTGTACCAACAGACCACATTATGTAGGAGCTAGCTGCAGGCCACACTATTCTGCAATTTTGAGACTATTTTCATTGAATTTCAATTTCCTTAGAAATTTCAGATTCAAACAATTATATTTATAAAATGAATGCATATTTATTATCAACGAATTAAAAAAAAATTAAACAAATATACCTTTCGTAACATCATCAAATGACAAGAACGTGGGATGGTACTGAAACATTTTCCTTTCTGTAGTATATCTGCAATCATATATGAATGTTGATGCAAAAAGAACAGGGAAAATGAATCTCTGGTTCTGAATACATATCTGCCGAATCTGCTTAATTTTAACAAGAGAGTTACATACATACATGTTTAAAATTCTCATTATCAAGAAAAGGATCACGTGATGAAAGAAAAGAAGAAAACAAACCCAGAACAGAACAGGAAAAAATGCCTGGCTTTCCCATGTACGCCAAAGAAAAAATTTCGAATATATATAGATGGATGGATAGATAAATAAATTCTTCACCTCCAAAATACCGATAAATCTTCTAACGAGCCAAACTTTTCGACCACTGATCAGTATGTGGCCAAGCTAGAAAGCATTTCCGTCTCTTGCAAGCAACCGATAACATCGTATTTCTTCCTCTTCTTCATGATTCAAACCACAATTTGAAATGTGGAAATGGAAGGAAGGGATTATGGACTTGTCAAAGGAGAAAGAAATGGGGAGGGTTTGTTGTTGTGTAGGACTTAACGCAAAACAAGTTCAAGATAAAATTAAATAAATAATGTAAGAAGCTAGCTAGGTAAAAGGGAAGAAAGGTGTTCCCAAGAAGACGACGAGCGTTTTCCGTTATTATTGTTTGGATAAACTACACCAGCTCATTCAACTATATTCAAATATCATTGTTTAGAATTCGGGACCTCAAAAAATAATAATAATTCCTTAATCACTAATATCACTCGGTTATGAGCGTTTAATTTTAAATGATTAAAGGTCTTTAAATATATATTACATTGTACTTATCCCATATTAATTAAAAAATTATTTTAAGTACTATTTTAAAATATATATATATATATATATATATATATATATAACTGATCATTAAATCAGTCAAACTGCTATAAAATTATCACTACAACTTTATAACAATGATAAAAGTTTAATAAATTTAATAACTATTTTGTAATAGTTTGATTATATTT